TATTTACAAGTTGTTAAAGTTATTTACTCATCTAAAAGTATAAACTTAAGGTTGATTGTGATAGGACTTATTTCACAGTAACTTAATAGTTTCTTATATATTACTTTCTGTTATTAAGTCATAGTTACCCTAAGTTCAATGAGTTGAGCGTAAGGTTAACAATATTCTAAGTGATAATAGAAAAGTCCCAGCAAGTCTCTATATGTATTGAGCATTAGAACTCTTATCATTTGTAATTAGTTTTATTCTATTTCTTGATATTTGTTAAGAGTTTTGTTAATATGCATTTATGTAACAGGTGAAGTTGATGAAATGAAAAAAAAATTAACCTTGAACAGAAAAATAATTAAACTGGTTTCTTTTTTAACTTTTTATAATGATCATGTAAAACTGTGATTCATAAAGCGTATAAACTTGACTGTAACCTTTAATCTAATAGATAATGCTAGAAAAAATTATGACTTTGATTTTACTTAAAAGAAATTCTTAGGAAGAAACTTCTTCAGAGAGGATATTTTAAAGGAAAAAGAAGATTAATTATACTGAAATGCTATCATCTACTCATTGACGTTATAATCAGCATAATTCTCCTAATTTCATGAATTGCACAATCCTAAAGATCTTGAAGATAAAAATTTGCTAATTCTTCATCCTTTCAGAATTTAATATCTTTTACTATTGATAGTTAACCGTTGTCTTTATCTTCAATCCTTTTTTTAGAATTCTATAATAAAAATAAGTTTAGCTTAGTAAATGATACAAAAAATTTTATTATGAGAAAGATATTGTTATAAAGAAGATACATCTTTTCCATAATTAGCAATATCAAAGTTAGAGTACTTAAATTAATTAATAAATACTAAACGAACAAACATAATAATTAAACTAGGAGTTACCCTTCCTTAGCAAAATAAATAATGTACCTTTTTATTTAAATCTGCAAAAGCCTTTCTTATCAATAGTTTTTAAGAGTTGTTTAACCAAAAAATTGTAGAGATTATGCCTGTTATCTGATTTAAAATAATTTATAACCTCTGTAGCAAAATTTTTTAAAATAAAATCATAATAAGATAAATTTAAAAAAATAAAGTTTTTTTAAAAAAAATTCGTCACTGGACGGTAGTAAATAAATTTAAAAAAATTAAAATCTTTAGAATAAAAAAATTTGAAATTGATTTTAATGACAAATTTAATAACGATAATTATAAAAAGTTGTGACAAAAATGAAAATTGAGTTTTTTTTTAAGAAATGCTATTATTTTTAAAATATTATTAATGGTGGTAACAATTTTATAAAAAGAAATAGTGATTTTTCAAATAAATTGTAAAAATTTCTGCATATTTCTAACGCTGATGTCTCTTACATAACTTCAAAATGCACAAAATTTTATGTGATATAATTTTTTCACCTTCACGTTAATTTTACTAAGTATTATAGAGACTTATAATTTTTTAGTAATTAAAAATCTATTTGTAACCACTATATATCAAATGTGCATCACAACTAATTTCAGCCAAATGCTGTAATGTCAGCTATTTTGTGATATTTTCTGAAGTTTACGCAGAAGAAGTCACTCTATGTCATTTATAAGTATACATTAAGAGATACAATCTTTTTTTGTATGAGAAAATATTTTTCAGTGATTGATTAATAAGAATTTATGATGTATTAAATTATTCACGATGGCCAAGGTAGTAATATGATGAAAAAGTCTACCTGCAACTAAGGAAGACACAAGAAGTATGATTATTTGTATTTAGAAGAAACATATTTCCATTTTTTTATATTTATTAAACTTGTTATTAAAGTATATCAAGCTATAGTGAAAATTACTTAATATGTCGACTGTTGAAAAACTTATTGATGAAAATTTCATAAAAAAAAAAACTTTTCTTTCAATTAAAATTTTATTGTCGTTTTCTTTATCATTATCATGCATTTCTTTTTTGATCCTTCATTTTAGACATTAATCTTCTGAAATATTTTATATTACTTACAAATACAGATCTATTATTTGCCAAATTTTTTAATTTATTCTTTTCTAGAAATCTAATTTATTTCAAAATTAAGATGTCTGTATCTTTTTTTTTTCTGAAATTGAAAAGAACTTGTGATTTTTCTTTTATTCACAAATTTCATTATTGATCGATTATTACCATTTGGATTTTATTCCATAAATTTTCATGAAATAATCATCAGATAATAATTTTTGATTATTTTAACAGGAAAAAATTTCTCACGACCTTGAGAATTTTTCATAGTTACTTTTTTTGATTTAAAAATTTCATAAAAATCTTATTTCTGCAATCTTCTTTGTCTACTAAATACTTTTTTTTTAATTCTAAATACTTTTCTTACTTACTTTTACAATATAGATAAATTATAACACAACTGATATTTCTCTTAATGCTGATATAACCTTCACAACTAATAAGAAAAAGCTTGTCAAAAAGTCTTAATAACTTAAAAATAAAATCACTATTAACAATAACTTCTTTTAGCAGCTTGGATCAAATCGCTCAGTTTTTTATTAAAAATAATAGATTAAATAATGAACTAAATATCATTTTTCATATTACAGATATAGATATATAGAGAACTATAAATGACTTACAATGACCTTTAATTCTAGTATAATTAAATATACTCTAAAATCTACTGTTTTCAAAATCTTCTAAATGTCTAATAAGTTCAGAAGTGTCAAACAGTTATGTCAAATTTTTAATTGATTACTAGCATAACTTCAGTAAATAAGCAAAGTGTATAACTTTCCATTTTACATTCAACTTAATGAGTAATTTATTATTAATATTTTTTCTTAAGAAGGGATGTCATAAGCATTTATGCTAATTTTTAAATTAAATTTTATCATTGATATTTTTGCTTATTCTTGAGACTATGCTCCTTCTCTTTTTATTTTTGTAACTTTGATATTTCTATTTTAATATAGTTTAAATAATCTTTTCTTTTCATTTGTTTCTTTTGATTTTATTATATTCTCAATATTACTTGATTTTAAACCGTTTTATATTCCGGGTTGTGGGGAATATTGTGAGTGGAAAGATTCTTAGTGATAAGATTGGGTGTGACTTCGAGAAGATGTGCGCTTATCCTTGATCTATTTTAAATCTTTTTCTTTTATTGCTATGCTACATTTATGTCTCGTGATTCTATTTTAATAGCAAACGAATATTTGTTCTTCATCGTTAATTAAAAATTATTGTTGCTACTTATGTAATTTTGTTACCTGATTTAAAAATGTCAAAACCTTAGAATATACATTTACAAAATTTATTCCATAATAAAGATTTCTTATATTTCTCCAAACAAAAACTTTTGTTTTTCATCGATTTTATAAGCCTAATAATATTTATATAATTTATTTATTTTGAAGAGTAAAATTGGTCTAAGGGAATGGGAAGCCAAAGTTCGTGTAATGGAATTGTCAAATTTTGTTAAGGAGTATAAAATGAACCGCAGATATTGCTCAATCAATTTTTTTTTTTCAGTACATTTATCCTGTAAAAAATGCACATGTATATACCACATTTAATTCTAAATTTCTGAATCGTATAAATTTTTTAGCAAATTCAGATAAGGTTTCAAGTCAAATTTCGGATATATAAAGTTTAATGTCAGATAAAATCGGAAATTACCTAAAATATTGATTTTAAATGAGGTCATCTAAAAAATATACCTCTAAATTTCAGTCTCCAGAAGTTTCCGTATCTGAATTTTAAATTGATCGAAAAATCAATTTCAGTTACCCATTGATTTACAAAAAATTAAGAAATTTTTTAGTTCCAATTTGATAAAACTATGCGCCCATTATCAACTTTCTTGATGACCTTCAACAATTACTGCTGTAATCAATCTATTTATGATACATGTGAAGTAGTAGAGACGTAGCATTGTATTTTCTAGTAAATCTAAAAGAACCAGATTTTTGAAAGCTTTATAATACATTTGACAAACCATTATAAATTTTAATTTACTATATTTCGGAACAAAAATTATAAGATCTAAAATTCCTTGATGTTTTTCGGTTTATACTTCAAAAAACAAAATAATTAAAACAAATTTGTCAAGTAAGTTAACAACTAATTCCTGAAAACAACGTTTATAAACTAACAGTCTGTTTCTTTAGTCGAATTTTTTTTTTATTTGATGAAAAATATTTATTTCATCCTGTAATAAAATTAAAGATAATTAGTAAATTTGCATTTAAAATTCAATAATAAATAGTATACTACCTTGAACTAAAAAAAGACTAAAACTTCATTTGGCAATAAATATAAATAATATACCCAAGTTCTGAATTCATTGAAGGATTTCACGTATATTCATCACAAATCCGGTAAGAACTTGTGAAGCAATCATTTGAGGATTTAAAAGTTCCTGCCAAACGACACCATTAACAACGGCATCATAAGTATAAATTCTAGCTTTGGGCGGATTTGTAAAGGGATCAATTGAAACTCCTTCCTAGATAAACATGAAGATAGTAATAAAAGGTTAAATCATTAAATGGATAGCAATCATTAATCTACTTGCCTCAACTCCTCCATTTATCCATCGTAACATTTTTCTATGAACTTCTTGAGGTGAATAATTTTCTGAACGTAATTCCACAATATAATTTGGTGCAACTGGCGGATTTGCTTTGTTCCTATCAACATCCGATAAAGCGTACCATCTTTCGTAATAAAGAGAAATAACAATAAAAATTAGGGATTATGATAGATAGATGAGCAACTTATCTTTACATATTAATAACATTCGAAAACCTTGGACTAAGGACAATGGAAGCATCAGGGCTCAGAATATCACTATTAGACAAAGTAAAGTCACCCTAGAACAAATAGAAGACGTTGATTTTAATAACATGAAACGGAAACATCACAATAATGATTGCATAACTTACCATACAAGAACCAAAGTGTCCAACCAAATCACTGTTTGCAGCACGCCAGATGCCAACTTGCATAATAATTCTTGCTTGTCTCTGGCCTATATGACATTTCGAAACTACGGTTTATAACAAGAAAGCGAATTTCAACAAAACAACGCTTGATAATGGCTTAGAAAGTTACATACCGGTATAAGCACTCACCGGCATTGATATCTCAAGCCGACCTTCGATAAGACTCATACGATATTGTGGGTTGGCGTCTGCAATTTCATTAAAGCGTTTGTGATCATAATCAGGAATGAATATTCGTGATAAGGAAGACATTTTTAAAAAAAAATTGACGAGAAATATATTATATTAAAGTTTGTATGAAAAAAAAAAATATTTTACACTATTTTCTGTATCACAAATACTTGAAGCTCAGCCACGTCACTGTGTTAACTTCCGATGTAATCACTGGTCTGATATTATGGCGCATCAGCCTCTCAATTTGATACAAAATTTCGCTTTTCTCACTTAATCTATCGAGAGTTTTTTTTTTCTTTAAAATCCATTTTCTCTGACATAAATGATAATTCGTTTTTTAAATGCTTGCAGATAGGTCATTCATAACCCGATTTCTGAAAAAATTTTTTTTTTAAAGTAGTATCATTTTAATAATATAAACGAGACAAAGACGAGGATGGAAAAAATTTTGGCTACATATATCAATCAATATACCGGGTCACTACTTCTAGTATTAGTATTATTTCTTTTTTTTTGTAAAAATCATTTGAATTTTAAAAGTTATCCGTTTATATTATTTATCCTTGACAAGTATTCTTGAATTTGATCAATGAAATTATTCTATAAAGAATAAAACAACGACTTCAAACTAATTAGAGTCGACCTGGGTTGTTTGATCCAACTCGAATTTTTTCTCGAGTCGGGACTATCACACGAGTCCTAATTCAAAAAAAAACCGTCGGGTCAGGGTCACGTTTTTGCTTGACCCGAGTTAATCTAATTTAAACAGTTACGTTGCACAACTTTAATTTGTACCTATCGATGATTACAGTTTATCGATTATTAAACATTAACTAATACATTAACACATTTTTATAAAGCAACAAGTGTTCCATAATGAACCTCGGATAAATAAATGAATATGATTATCTTTTTCATTTTTCATTTTTTTTAAACTTATTTAAGAAAAATGCTATCATAAATTACGATTATGACAAATCAAAAATAGTTAATGGATTGAACGAGTTATAAAAACAAATTCTTTAATTACAAGTCAAAATCATCTGGAAGATGTATTTTTTTTTATAAGGACAGCAAATATGGATTGAGGAAAGATCTCGGCAGTAAGTAATGTTTCTCGTTTTCCAACGTTTTTTATATGTTGAATGTGGTAAATGGTTAAATAATGTCAAAAGGAAATTTTATTAAAAAAAATTTTAAAGTATAATCTGTTCATTTGCTTAAAAGATTTGCTCAAAAATTGTTACATTGCAAAGGTAATATTATTTTAAGAAAATTTTGTATTCCAAAACGGATTTGATCCTATAAATAAATTTCTTTGGAAACTACTATAGCTTAGCTTACTAACATTACTACTATTTTCGTTAAAGAAAAGGTTAAAAGATTATATTGAGGAATTCACTAAGGAAATCACCTTCTGAGACTATAAATCATATTCTCAAAAGGTCCATGTAATCGGATATGTGTGGGAAGTTTGCTATTAAAATCAAGTTAAGAATCATATGATTTACTATGTTCGTAACCCGATTTTAATAGCCCACCTCCCATGTACATTAGCTCCACCTTTTGTTTTTACAATCGACTTACTTACGAATGCGGTTCGATCATATTGTAACATTGTTTAATAAATTGGCAAAAGTTTAACTTTCTGCACCTTTTAATAAAGGTTAGCATTATCGAGAATTTTATTTTCCAGTTGAAAGAACCAATTGGTTAATCAGTATAAAATTTCAATTTATTATATTTTGAAAGTATTAATAATGATACTTTAGTAATTTCTAAAGAAAACCGAATTGATGATTTAGTTTGTGTGGATCTTCACAAGTCTAGAGGCTTGCCAAAAATAAAGTGATGTGTTCGTACAAAGAATACTTGGACTCCTACCAAATGAGAATATAATTAAACTTCCATATCATCGTAGTTGTCAGATATAACCAAGTAATTAAATGGTGATAGGAAAATTCAATTTTCGAAATCAAAAATAGCTTCATAAAACACTCCGTATACTCTGCCCTCAGGATACGATAAGTCGACACCGAGGTGCCAGACACGTCCGTTGTTGTTTGACTCTACTCCTACAGATGATACGCTATCATCAAACGTGATACAGAAGGTTCGAAATACAAATACGCATAATGTTCTTGAATTTTGGTCAGTATATACTTTAGGTCATCGTGCTTACTCATTTAAAAAGAAATTTGTCCGTCAATCTGACGCGATCAATAGATTACATAATTTGTTAGCAGAATGTCGTAATACATTTTATCTTCCTTCACTTTCAAATATCAACGGTAAAAAAAAAATGAAAAGTTCAATATGATATTGCTTCTTGACTCCTTAAATGATTTTGTAATATGTGTCAATGGACAGTATGTAAAAACGTTTCCTCAATGCAGGTTATAGATAGGGCGAAGAAATGTTTGGGTACAATAAAACATTCTTTATAGTAATACCGTTTGGGATTGCTATATCGTTTGGTGTCGTTAGCGTCCGTAAAGTAAATTCTAGCTTTTGGTGAAAATAGTTTCTATTCTCAAAACGACGTTTCCGACAAGATCAACGCTCATAGGCAATTCCTATGATCGACTATTACAGTATAAAGTACTCTTTCAGAAAATGGTGTTACATTTAGTAAAAAAAAATTTTGCTTACCGGTTGATTCTTTGGAACGTTAAATAACTGCTTGCAAAAAATAATCCAAAATAATCCGGGCTTTAAAAGGGTTAACTTAGAGGTGACATACTATATTAACGAAGCTTAAGGTCTTTATATTGCTATAAAACTTGTTTTAAACTTCTAAAATCCAAAAGAAAGTTTTAAAACTTTGTATTTTAAAATAAATTGAAATAATTTCTGTATAATATGAAAAGAATTAAACCATCAAATAACTAATGATTTATTACATTTTAAATTGCTTTCATCGCTTTCACGAAAGATATAAAATATTAGTTATATTGTCGATCGTACTTATGATAGAAGAAAGTCTTCCTATGGTATGAGAAAAAAAAAAACAAATCTTCCATTGCTATTGTTGCTATTGCAAGTTATAATTAAAATTATACACTCACAATGGTATGCTAATGAAAGTTATATTCCCTAAAAATATGAAACTTTTTTTTAATTTTCAAGGAAAAATAATAATAGCTCCATACGTACTCATTTTATATCAACACAAAAACGTCATGATAGTTTACATGGAAGCGTTATTTTTTTTCCATTGATAAAATATTGCTAATTAAATTTTTCGATAAGTTTATTGATGAATATCTCACATGTCTTTCTTGAAATCTTGAATCGTTTTTTATGGGGTACCTTGTAGCGAAATTGTTAACATTAGTAAATGGGAGGTTTGCTATTAAAATCAAATACGAACATAGTAAATTATATGGTCCGTTACTTGATTTTAATAACAAATGCATTCCCAATGAACTGGGAATCTTCGACGTTCAAATTTGTCTTTAAGTGAAGATACCACATTCCATAAATTCGCTGAAAAAAAATAAATGAATAAATAAATAGAAACTCATTTTGCAAATGATATCATTAATGGTACAGGGTGGAGTGTCAACAAACACAGATATATACATAATACTAGCTGAAGAATTTTCGTAATAAACTTTTTAAAAATTACCCTCACAATTCTTCACGTTAAAATTAATCGTTTTCATTTCTGATAATAGGTTATTGTTCTTTGAACATGCTACAAGTAATACATGAAAGCGAATAGGTTTCTTTAATTCATAAATAATTTAAAATTTTATTGATAAAAAGACTTTTGTTTGTACAAATCGAAAAAATGATTATAATACGGAATATTATTGAAGGGTCCATTAAATAAATATTACACATCGTTATCAGTATTAAGGTGATTTAATTCTTCGTCGCAATTAAAGAAATAATTGTTGCAGATCCCTTTCCCAAGCGAGTAACTTTTTCACTAAAAAGGTACGTGAAAAAAATATTCGGTAAAAAAAAGCATTCCTATAACAACCAAGGTTGATTTGTCTTCACAAAGAAAAAATAGTAAGAGAGGCATTTCAATACAATAGGGGTCACGAACGATCCTCATTTAGTAGTCGCACTTCATTTACTTCAGTTATACCAATCATTTCTAATTGATGTTATCGAATGAATTAAAAATAATTAAGTAAAATAACTTCACATTGTTTTTATTGACTAATGCGGAGAATATGGTAATATTTCGCAGGTGACCTCCGAATTATCTGATGATAATTATTCAAATTGTTATCGAATTTTTCTGTTCTTGAAAGGATCAGATTTCTTTTTTAAAAGTGTGCAAAAAACGAAAGGAACAGTTCTTCAATATCAATAATATCGTTATTGGTTTTTAATAACGATTTAAAAATTCTTCATGTTCATTAATATTTGCATTTTGAGTATTTAGAGTAGTCGAAGGAAAGGTTTAAAGAAATGAAGCTGGTGAGCAAGTAGACCAACTTTTGAATCACCTCCTATAATCACAAACCTCTTCTTTTATTATCTGGTATGAAACGCTATGATATACCGTTCCCTGTTTACTAATCGTTCGCTACACATCGATATTTTACTGAAGTTACTATCGAAGTTGAGCATTTAAAATTCGTACTAGTAATTATTTATTAATAAATTAATTTAATATTGCACAATTTTAAACATTAAAAGGATTTAATTAAATATTAAAAAGTATTTGTAACTATAAATACATATATACTAATTAAAATAGAAGTTAACATTTTGAAAATGGCATTCAATAAACATTGTCGCCTTTTCTTTATTGTAATTATTAGAAAGTAAATTGGTTGATAATTCTTGTGATTCAAGATTCGTAATTTGAGAATTCTATAATGGTTGTATATTATAATCTTGAATTTGTTGCATAGATCCATTATCGGTGTTGTTTTTAATTTGAGTTTCTTGATAATCTTGTATATTATAAGTGGAAATAATAAGTCGCAATGTATCCATTTTTTGTTGTTCATTTGATACTTTATATTTTCGTACGGAATCAACACTTTGATGCCCAGTTATTTTCATAATAACCTGTTCTTCTGCATTTACATTTTGCATTAATTGTGCAGATGTCATTCGTCCATAATGGTTAGTCAGTAAGCCATCAACCTCAATACCTGATTTATGAACAAGTTCTTTCATAAATCCAGATAAATTATTTCGACCAAAGTGTTGCCAGATTCCAGTTTCTTCCCTATTAATTAGAAATTTGTAAATTCTTTAAAAATTATTATATAGTAAAATTACATTGTGGATTTGTCTGTAAATAAAAATCTGGTTCTGCATCTAATGACCTTTTTCAAAATACAATTGATAATCATAACATGGTTCTCTAGAATTAGATAAATCAGCTGGAATTGGAAAAAAAAATACCCTTTTAATAAAGAGTGTCTGGAGTTGATATTGAAGTTGCAATATTTTGTTGAGTTAAAGCAGCAGACCCTTTACTTCTCCAAAACTTTTATCTTGAAGCATTTCATTTTACCATCAAGAACTCTTGTTAAACAGGATACTGATGACGATCGCGCGATTAATCCCATGTATAATTGGAAATCCATCAAATATCATTTAATTCCACCAACAGTCTGTCTTATTGATAATGTTTTATATTCAGTTACATAGTAGCAATATAACCTGCCAATTGATTTACTAGTATAGATATATCCATAAGATGCAATTGAATTTTATATTGCTCCTCTTGTATTCAATTTTTTGTTGCTTCTTGTATTTGAACACGTGATTTTTTGATAATATGAAATTGCTTTCTCAATTTCAATATTTAGATATTTTAGGCTGTAAATGTGGATTATTTATTGTGTGATTTCAATTGAGAAAGAGAGAAAATTTGTAAAAAAAATTAATTACTAACGATATTGTTAGTAACACGTGATCAATCATTTTACTAAACCATAAAATGTACTATATTAGTTATTTAACGTTGTTAGACCGGAATCGTCTCAAAACCAAGCTAACAAAATTAAATAACTTAATATCACAATTATCTAAAAGGCCTTTTCAAAGAGAAATTAACGATTAATAAACAAAATAATTTATTATCACGATTCACTTGTGTAGTAGGTTATCACGATCAAATCCTATGATGAAGACAAGAAGAAGGTTGAAAGTGTAAAGTAGTAACTTTATTAACTTGTAGAATTTATAAGTCTAGTCCCAAGACTTATCTCAATCTCTGAGCAAAAACTCTCGACTCAAGGTCAACTTACAGGTCTATTTATATTGCTAACTAGTACTATACTACGCTTTTTGATAAGTATAAATGATACATATAATGAAAACTAAATAATAAAAAGAAGACTATATAATATTTATATTAAAAAGTAAATTATTCGATACATGTATTATAAAGTCGATCAAACGATACATGTATTACATGTTTAACATGTATCACATTCATGATTTTCGGCGCAGTTGAAGATCATCTGAGGCGCAGTATGATTTGCGACTAACAACGCCGATCTCACAGGGATCAAGTCTTCAGCCGTGATTCCTGATGATACAGTGGTGTGCAAAAAAAATGACAATTTTTAAAATTACGATCGTTACACAACCACTTTATCAATCGAAACGTA